TCAGGGGCTGGCTAGTGTTGCCTGCCAGACCTCTCAAGTAAGCAGGGCTTGGCCACCTAGTTCTGCAGCGAGGGCCTAAGCCCCTCTTCCCTGAGGAGTCTCATTGTCTGCTTTCATCCTCATGGCCACTGGTGGGACAGGGTGGATCAGTGTCGTCCTTATTTATTTCCAAGTGAGGAAGCCAAGGCAGAGGTGGCTAGGTGCCCTAGCTGGACCCCAGGGCCAGGGTGTGGTAGGATTAGATTTGACCTTCAACTCTATGCTGGAGTGCATGCCTCCAGCCCCCACGCTCTGACTCTGGATAGGCTTCTGTCAGTTACACTTAGGGTTTCTTTCTGGGCAACAGCCGAGGAGACGGGCCAGCGGGACCGCTCGAGCAACGTGAGGCGGACCCAGGCGATCCGGAGGCGTCACAATGCAGGCAGCAACCCCACCCCTCCAGCCTCTGTCATGGGCTCGCCACCCAGGTGAGCTTCCTTACCACTGGGCTGAGAGGCAGAGGGAGCCTGTGGGTTCTCACTGGTGCTGACCCTGGAGCTCCCTCTCCCCAGCAGCCTGCAGGAGGCCCAGCGGGGCCGGGCCGCCTCCCACTCCCGGGCGCTGACCCTGCCCTCTGCCTTGCACTTTGCCTCCTCGCTGCTGCTCACTCGTGCGGGGGCCAACGTGCACGAGGCCTGCACTTTTGATGACACCTCCGAGGGCGCTGTGCACTATTTCTACGACGAGAGTGGTGAGCCTCTTCTCCATCTATTGCCAAGCGTCTGACCCCAGCTTGCCCACTGCCACCTCTTGTCTCCAGTTAACGGGCTGTGTTCTTCCAGCACCAGCCTTGGCTGTTTTACGTTTACTGCCTCCTCGGCCCTGTGGCGAGTGCTCCACTCACACTGTCTGACGTTGTCCTCAGTTGTCCTTTCCTGCTGTTGAGGAAACCAAGGCTCACCCTGAAGTCAGGCTGAGCGAGGGATATGATGGAGATACAAACCCAGGGTGGGCTGACCACAGTGCCCAGACTCTTGGCCTGTGGGCCCTTTCCCATCCAGCTCTAGGTCCCCATGGGAGTCACAGCTTCCTTAGGAGTCACAGCAAGATGTTCTTTTTCATTTGATGCCCCCAATGCACACGTGGGCTGTGCATTGCTTCTCCCTAACACAGACGCCTCACCCCTGCCCCAGGTGTGCGGCGCTCCTACACCTTTGGGCTGGCTGGAGGTGGCTACGAGAACCCTGTAGGGCAGCAAGGGGAGCAGGCAGCGAACGGGGCCTGGTGAGTCCTGAGCTCGGTCTCTTCTGGACCAGCTGCCTGATGGGCTATGTTTCCTGGGGCTGGGACTGGGGTACCCTGAGCTTGGAGTTTTCTCTCCCTTGCTGAGTTGGGTCAGAAGCAGCTCAGGAATGGGAGGGCAGGAGGATGGGAAGCAGTGAAGGACAGACCTGCAGGGATCCTGGCTCTGTAACCCCCAAGCAGGAGGCTTCCAGTAAGCCTAGGGCTGCTGAAGGAAGATGAAGGAGTGTGGCCTCAACAACTCACAGACCAGGCCCTGGGAGAGGGGTCCTCTGCTATGTGCTCTCTCCTCATTCCTTCTTTCTGTCCCTGAGTCCCCTGGTCATGGGACGTTCAGCCCTACCAAGTCCCATGACTCTGACCCACTTGCCTCTACCCATAGGGATCGCCACTCGCATTCTTCCAGCTTCCACTCAGCTGATGTCCCTGAGGCAACTGGTGGCCTGAACTTGCTCCAGCCAAGGCCTGTGGTCCTGCAGGGCATGCAGGTGCGCCGGGTGCCCCTGGAGATCCCAGAGGTGAGGAGCGGCTGGGGGAGGGTTGTTCACACAGGAGGGAGTCGGGGGTGGACAGATCACTGAGCCTTGTCTGAGTCGAGAGCTTGCCCAGGCACCCTCAGGGATACAGACCCCACTGAGTGAGGGCTCCAGGGCCTTTACTGAGTCTGTCCTGACCGTGGGTACCTGACAGAGGGGCACAGGCCCTGGGTCTGAGTGACTTAAGTCATTTATTGGCTTGTTCTACAAACCTGTCTGGAGAATCTTCCTAATCTCTGAAGGGCCTGCAGTTAACAAGGATGGCGTGTTAACAATGCTGTCTGTAAGAGTGGCAGTTTAGATAGCCCGAGGGTGACTGTGCTGTTCCCTGTGCTCTGCACTTTACATGTGTCCGGTTAGGGGGCGTTCTCTGTTAATGCTCTTTGTCTCAGCATAGTTATTAGTAGTATCCTCTTTTACTCCTAAGAGTATCCCAATTTCGGCAATAGTTTTGTGGGCAGCCTAGTAATATCAGAAGCGCTAGGAATGGATAAGTGGCCTCAGAGAGTAATTACAAAAGGAGGAGCCACATATCTTAACACCTGAGGCCACAAGTAGTCTATGAGTGGTGCGCAGAGCCCTTTCTGATTCACCGGGCTTTTTTTTAAACACCTGTGTGCGGTAAACTGCCTTGTCCTTGCTAGGCGGTGGACGACTACCTGCAGAGGCAGGGGCTGTGCTTCTGCCTCGGTGCATGTGTTCACAGCCCAGTGTAGGGCCAGTCCGCAGCTGAGCCTCATAAATGCTTATTGAACAAAGGGCACAGAAACTTCAAGCGGTCTGGCGCTCAGCAGGCCCTCACAGTTCTGGCGTTGGCACCCAGGTCTGTCCTTGGGGCCAGGTACTCTGTGCTCCAAGGTAGGATGGTCAGAGTGACAGCGGCGACTCTGTCGGAAGGGTAACATTTCCAAAGTGAGTATCATAGTCTGGGAAGAAGGGGGAGCTTCTGCCTGGGTAGGGAAGACAGAAGTGGGAGCTAGTGCCAGACTTCAGTCCGCAGCAGCTCCAGCAGCCATCAGACCGTACCCTAGGAACCTAGAGAAAGGACCAGGCCCTTGTGATGGGGACTCGGGGCAGGCCTCGGGACTGTTAAACAGGGGGGACTTTCTGTGCTGAAGGAAATGGTTGACCAGGCCAGTGTGTTGGGTGGGGTGGGTGGCAACAGATCATATGGGGGGCGGCAGGGCTGATGGTCGCGGCTGTGGGGACTGCAGTTTGACCTGCTGGACCAGGACTCCCTGCACGAATCCCAGGAGCAGACGCTGATGGAGGAGGCACCACCCCGTGCCCAGCACAGCTACAAGTACTGGCTTCTTCCCGGCCGCTGGACCTCTGTACGCTATGAGCGGCTTGCCCTGCTGGCCCTGCTAGACCGGTGAGGACCCACCTGCTTCTCTGATTCCTAAAATCCCTTGGGCTCTGGCTTTCTGCGGACCTGTGGAGGCAGGCACGGCATTTGAGAACCTGACTTCTGGGGAAGCTGAGGGTGCCCTGGCAGAGCCTGCCTGCACAGGTGTTTCTTTAGGTTCCTCCAAGATGCAGCAAAGTGGGACTGTAGTGATCCTGTTTCTCCCAAAGCCTTGCTCAAAGCAAACTATCCCTAGTCAGTTATTTTTATTTGCTGCTGTGTTAGATTTGATTAGAAAGTTGAGTGCTTAAAAAAGTTCACAGTGGGACCAGCAGAGGGTGTAACCGTTATGTCGCTGGACTCCCACTTAGTCGACCGCAGCTTGAGTCTCAGACCCGGAGGCTTCAAACAAATACTGTGTGTGTGCATGCCCAAAATTCTAAGAGGAGAGAATGGAGGGGAAGGGATTGCAGCCTGCCCATCCCTCCCTGGGGGTGTGTATGTGTGTGATTTCTTGCTTTTTCTTTGTCTCTCTGGTGAGTGCACACCCCCTATAGCAAAAATCTTCCTGGGGGGGGGAGGGATAAGCTCACGAGTTATTTGTCTCACCTTTCCCATTTCTCAGAGGGGAAAGGGGAAACCTAGACCTGGAGAAGTCATGTGGCTTTGTCATCTGTTGTGGAGGACTTGGGCCTAGCAGCCTTATCCTGGCCTCCTGTCCATGTAGATTTCTCTGAGCACTGTGGCCAGGTGTATAACGCTGCACGCCTGTGGTGGTGTGCACAGTGTAGCACACATGGTTACTTGGCAGCAGGAGGTGGATGGGGGCAAGTCCCAGGAGTGATGGCACCTCGAGCACTCAGCTTGTAGAGAGGGCAGAGATGGGGTTGCAAGGTAACAACGGGATTTCTTCTGGAGCAGGTACAGCCAGGTCTGCTCCCTGCAAGGTCGTAGATTGGACATTTCAGAGGACAAGGCTGGCATGGGCAGAACCTTGGCGTGGGCTATTAGGGCAGAATCCTATCTCCCCTCCTCTACTAGAAGAGGATGCAGGAGGGGTGCACCCTGACTCAGCTGTCTCTGCAGGACGCGTGGGGTGGTGGAGAACATCTTCGGTGTCGGGCTAAGCAGCCTTGTTGCCTTCCTGGGCTACCTGTTGCTGCTCAAGGGCTTCTTCACTGACATCTGGGTCTTCCAGTTCTGCCTGGTCATCGCCTCTTGCCAGTATTCCCTGCTGAAGGTCAGACCTGGATCCCTGGGTCTCCTTCCCTGACCAACCTTTCCCCAGACATTCCCCTTCCCACTACTGCAGTTTTGAGGTTAGATAAGGTGCTTAAGTTACCCTGTAACAAGCCCCCTGTCTTACAAGTAAGAAAACAGCCTCAGGACAGTTCAGGAGTTCAGGGTCTTGCCTGGTGGCTCACTACTGCCCAGTGGTAGAGCCAAGTGGGTCCTGAGGCCGCTGACTCTCCTGTGGGGGCCAGCTCTCGTTGTCAACACAGCTCTGTCTCTTGCAGAGTGTCCAGCCTGACGCAGCATCTCCCATGCACGTGAGTACCCAGGGAGCAGCCCCTTGTTTCTCCCAAAGCCTTGCTCAAAGCAAACTATCCCTAGTCAGTTATTTTTATTTGCTGCTGTGTTAGATTTGATTAGAAAGTTGAGTGCTTAAAAAAGTTCACAGTGGGACCAGCAGAGGGTGTAACCGTTATGTCGCTGGACTCCCACTTAGTCGACCGCAGCTTGAGTCTCAGACCCGGAGGCTTCAAACAAATACTGTGTGTGTGCATGCCCAAAATTCTAAGAGGAGAGAATGGAGGGGAAGGGATTGCAGCCTGCCCATCCCTCCCTGGGGGTGTGTATGTGTGTGATTTCTTGCTTTTTCTTTGTCTCTCTGGTGAGTGCACACCCCCTATAGCAAAAATCTTCCTGGGGGGGGGAGGGATAAGCTCACGAGTTATTTGTCTCACCTTTCCCATTTCTCAGAGGGGAAAGGGGAAACCTAGACCTGGAGAAGTCATGTGGCTTTGTCATCTGTTGTGGAGGACTTGGGCCTAGCAGCCTTATCCTGGCCTCCTGTCCATGTAGATTTCTCTGAGCACTGTGGCCAGGTGTATAACGCTGCACGCCTGTGGTGGTGTGCACAGTGTAGCACACATGGTTACTTGGCAGCAGGAGGTGGATGGGGGCAAGTCCCAGGAGTGATGGCACCTCGAGCACTCAGCTTGTAGAGAGGGCAGAGATGGGGTTGCAAGGTAACAACGGGATTTCTTCTGGAGCAGGTACAGCCAGGTCTGCTCCCTGCAAGGTCGTAGATTGGACATTTCAGAGGACAAGGCTGGCATGGGCAGAACCTTGGCGTGGGCTATTAGGGCAGAATCCTATCTCCCCTCCTCTACTAGAAGAGGATGCAGGAGGGGTGCACCCTGACTCAGCTGTCTCTGCAGGACGCGTGGGGTGGTGGAGAACATCTTCGGTGTCGGGCTAAGCAGCCTTGTTGCCTTCCTGGGCTACCTGTTGCTGCTCAAGGGCTTCTTCACTGACATCTGGGTCTTCCAGTTCTGCCTGGTCATCGCCTCTTGCCAGTATTCCCTGCTGAAGGTCAGACCTGGATCCCTGGGTCTCCTTCCCTGACCAACCTTTCCCCAGACATTCCCCTTCCCACTACTGCAGTTTTGAGGTTAGATAAGGTGCTTAAGTTACCCTGTAACAAGCCCCCTGTCTTACAAGTAAGAAAACAGCCTCAGGACAGTTCAGGAGTTCAGGGTCTTGCCTGGTGGCTCACTACTGCCCAGTGGTAGAGCCAAGTGGGTCCTGAGGCCGCTGACTCTCCTGTGGGGGCCAGCTCTCGTTGTCAACACAGCTCTGTCTCTTGCAGAGTGTCCAGCCTGACGCAGCATCTCCCATGCACGTGAGTACCCAGGGAGCAGCGCCTCTTGCCAGGAGGCCCCAAAAGGGGCTGGGCTAGGTGGAGAGGAGGGTGAGGCAGGCTGGGGGCAGGGCTCCCTCATCACCCCTGTAGCCACCTTCCCACCCCCATGTCTGAGTGCACATTCCTGGACAGTGGTCCATGGGGTGGCCCAGCTCCTCATGGGCTGCCTCCCCAGGGCCACAACTGGGTGATTGCATACAGCCGGCCTGTCTACTTCTGTATCTGCTGTCTGCTCATCTGGCTGCTGGACGCCCTAGGCTCAGCTCAGCCCTTCCCACCTGTCTCCCTCTACGGCCTCACACTCTTCTCCGCCTCCTTCTTCTTCTGCGCCCGAGATGTGGCCACTGGTGAGGCTGGGGCAGGGCCAAGGTGTGGGGGGGCGTGTGTGGCCCTGGAGGCGTGGCCAAGGAAGCCAACTGGCTGACTAGACCTTCATTTCCCCTCCCCGCCAGTGTTCACCTTGTGCTTTCCATTCGTCTTCCTCCTGGGCCTCCTGCCCCAGGTCAACACCTGCCTCATGTACCTGCTGGAGCAGATAGATATGCATGGCTTTGGGGGAACAGGTATGCTGCCCACAGGGATTCAAGGTGGGGCTGAGAGGGTCCATGGGTCAAGGCCGGGGCTCCAGCCCTTTCTGAGCCTTCTCCCACATCTGTACCATGGGTTCAAGGACCCTGTCTCTGCCTCTCTTCTCCCCAGGCAAGTGGTTTAAACCCATGCTAGAGGCTCTGAAGGCCTCTCGGGGCTGAGGGAAGCCAAGAACTGTGGGCTGGGATGGTGTCCCGGGAAGCTCGCTTCTGGGGTTCCAGAGCAGAGGCGGGGGTGGGGTGGGCATGCCAGCAGGTAAGAGTTGGGCTTTACTTGGTTTTCCCCTCCACACAGCTGCCACCAGCCCACTCACTGCAGTCTTCAGTCTATCCCGCAGCCTGCTGGCTGCTGCTCTGCTCTACGGCTTCTGCCTTGGGGCCATCAAGGTAGGGGTGGCCTGTGGGTGGGGGACTTGCTGCAGCCCACGGAGGTTGTTGGGACGGGGCTGTGAATTGGGCTCGGCAATGGCTTCTCCAATGGGGGACACCCTCCATGCTTACCCTCACCTCTCCTGACCAGCATGGATTCTCTTCCCAGACTCCTTGGCCGGAGCAGCACGTCCCTGTCCTCTTCTCCGTCTTCTGTGGTCTCCTGGTGGCGCTGTCCTACCACCTGAGCCGGCAGAGCAGTGACCCCACTGTGCTCTGGTGGGTGTCTGCATGTGCCCGTTAGCGCACACGTGTGTATGTGTGTTTATATCTGCATGGCAAGGGTTCAAGGGTCTGTGGGTCTGCACACATGCCTGTAACTGTCTGATCCTGGTCTCTGGATCGCGGGGCCCATGGGAGGAAGGGCTGGGAGGAAGGGGTGGCCTCCCTAGCTCCAGCCCCTGATTCATTCTCACTTCACAGGTCTCTGATCCGAAGCAAGCTTTTCCCTGAGCTGGAGGAAAGGAGTTTGGAGACAGCCCGGGCTGAGCCCCCGGACCCCCTGCCAGATAAGATGCGCCAGTCAGTGGTGAGGAGTGGAAGTGTGGGCTCTGCCGGGAGGCACTGGCAGGTCTGGGGGTGCCAGGGTGGGAGCATAGCCAGCTTCAGGGCAGCAGGCAGCCAAGCTGGTCTCTCTGACCCTGCAGCGTGAGGTCCTGCACTCTGACCTGGTGATGTGCGTGGTCATCGCTGTGCTCACCTTTGCCATCAGTGCCAGCACTGTCTTCATCGCCTTGAAGGTTCGTGTGGCCCAGGCTGTCCCTTTCCTTTGTCTTGGCAAGATCCTGCTCAGCCTGAGGGTCCTGGGTGGCCCCTGCCCGGCATGTGCCAGGTAGCCCTATCTAGGCCCCCGACTGAGCCCTGGCCTCTCCCTTGTAGTCGGTGCTGGGCTTCGTGCTATACGCGCTGGCTGGAGCCGTGGGCTTCTTCACACATTACCTGCTACCGCAGCTCCGCAAACAGCTGCCCTGGTTCTGCCTCTCACAGCCAGTGCTGAAGCCTCTGGAGTACAGCCAGTACGAAGTGCGTGGTGAGTGCCCACTGCCCTCTTGCACCTGGTCAACTGGGCTGGAGCCCAACAGCCTCATGAGAATTGGTCCTCTTGGTTCAGAATTGCCAGCAGGGGGCAGCCTCTGCCCACACACCTTCTCTGCCGCCATTCCTGCCCTCTGTGCCTACTGGGCTCTTGCCCACCCTCTTCCCTGCCCAGCTCAGCCCTGGGCTCTCTCCCTGCCTGTGCTGCCATTCTGCCCTCCTTGCTGTCTGAGAATATGGGACAAGTAGAATTCCAGACCCCGGGAAGGGTCTTCTGTGCAGAATTACAAACTGGCCACCCGTGGCTGCCATCTGCCTCATGCACATTTTCAATGGGCTTATAATAGTTTAAAAACTCTCCAGCGTGGGTTTAAACAGCTTCATTTGTGATGGGAAGATCCACGTTCCTTGTTTTCCTGGACAGTGGGAGAACTTGCTCCCCGGCCTGAATGCCTGTGTGACTGCACATCTTGAGCCAGTGGGGAATTCCCCTTCAGGAAAGCCCTGCAGCTTGGGTCCACTGTGCACTGGGGCCCCCCGAGCCCACCTGCCGTGGCCCTTGCCTGCCTCCCATAGGCATTCGAGATTTCCTTGTCAGCCTTCAGACAGCAAAACAGGGCAGAACACCTGCCCAGAGCCTGTGGCATGCTCAGTGGCATGTAGAGCCCTTGGCCTGCCGGGGCTCCTTGCCCTCATTTGAGCTGCCAACGATTGACCCATTCCCTGGCTTCACTCCTGAGTCTCGGGACCCAGGACACCACAGCCTGTGGTTTGCCTGCCCTCCCAGGTTCTCACTGAGATTGCACTCCCATCCTGGTCCTGAAGTTGTCAGTCTGCAGGGTCCTAGGGAAGAGAAGTCGTGGAGGGCCAACAGTCCTTTCTCATCTTTGCAGGTGCCGCCCAGGTGATGTGGTTTGAGAAGCTGTACGCTGGCCTGCAGTGTGTCGAGAAGTACCTCATCTACCCAGCGGTGGTGCTCAACGCCCTCACGGTGGATGCCCACACTGTCGTCAGCCACCCAGACAAGTTCTGCCTCTAGTGAGGACCACCTCACCCCCACTGTCTCACCCCTGCCATTGCCATTCCCACTTGATAGGTGGAGAAACGGAGGCCAGAGAGGGGACGAGTTGTGCCTATAGTTGTCCAGCAAGCTCAAGTAGGACCTCAGTTCCTGATGCGCCACATTGACGCAGTTCCCACCTTCAGAACAGTGGTTTCTTCCTCATCCCCTTTAGAGGGGCAGAGACTAGCACTGGTCCAGAAGAGCAGGGGCCAGCTCAGCAGGGCCAAGGCCTGGGTGGCTCTCGGGCCAGGAGTGGGGCACCTGTACCCACCGCCCATTAGGCCCCCCGCCGACACCCAATGCCTGCCCCTCACCCACAGCTGCCGGGCGCTGCTGATGACCGTGGCTGGACTGAAGCTGTTGCGCTCGGCCTTTTGCTGCCCGCCCCAGCAGTACCTGACCCTGGCCTTCACCGTCCTGCTCTTCCACTTTGACTACCCGCGCCTCTCCCAGGGCTTTCTGCTCGACTACTTCCTCATGTCCCTGCTCTGCAGCAAGGTGGGCTAGTGGCTGTGGCCCAGACTCCAGGCTATGCAACGGGACCAGAGCAGAACTCTTCTGCCTGGGGGAGGAGGGTCTTCCCAGGGGCCAGTGGCCCTGTCACTTGCCACTGTATGTCAGTCCCACTGTGGGCCATTGCAGCAGCTACTCAAGAAATGAGTTACCTCTTCCCGCTCTTCGCAGAATGGAAGCAGAGGCTTAAAGAGGTTGACTTGCTTCAGGTCATCCTGGGAATTGGGAATCAGCTAGGATTTGAACCCAGGCCTGACTCCACAACAGTTAAGTTCTCAGGACAGTTGAGATAGTGAGGACCTAGTCTTGTCCTCTGTATATTAGCATCTGACCTCTACCCCTATGCTAACCATGGTCCTGTTTTAGAGCTGTCTTGGAAGCCCCCAGGGCCTGACTGTATACAGATGCCCTTCCCATTTGTGAGATTCTCTGCTCAGAGCTGTAGGGTCACTTTGAGCAAAGGATCAAATATTCTTACACTTACTGGAGGCCTGCAGTGGTGTCTCGGACCCCAAGTGGGCTCAAGTCTTTTTATTGCCAGAGGGGCATGTGTGCTTCCCAGAGAGACAGAATGGGCAAGCACCCCTCAATGGGATGCAATCACATCACACTC